CCAGAAATAGACTGCATAGGACCAAGAACTCTTAAAGGCAGGGTATCATATTATGCCAAGAATGGGTAAACAACTGTGCTATTTTTGTAAAAACCATAGATATTCTTTATCCCTTTGTGAGATTTTGAGCAGTTTTGCAAAAGGTTTATAATTATAACCATCAAATACAATTGCTACTGGAAACATCATCTCTTATTCCTTTACCTGAAGCCTTCTGTCTTCTTTTGTTATGCACAATATTTTGTTGCGCTCAGTAGGTGCCTAAAGGCTTTATTTGCAACACCCTCTGTTATTTTTGCCAGATCCTGCTCAACAAGCACAATATAGAATGATTTCTGCCTAGTATGCATAGAAACTCACTGACATTGCAGTCCTTCCAGTTAGACTACTTGCCCAAATTCCATCATTAGGTCACTTTTCTTGCCTTTAAAAAGATTCTCTCAGACACTCGTCCCTAAACTGGCACACTGCAGATATGTTGGGCTTGCAAATATCAGCTGGAAAGAATATCAGCCCTATGATTCTATGCTCTTATATGCTTTTTAGAAGTATCCTGTTTAAAAAAAAAGTTGGAGTATATTAATCATTAAGGCCAAGGGCAGGTTTCTATAACCAGGGCTTTTTTTCTCATAGAATGCCCAGAACGGAGTTCCGGCACCTTTTTTGGATGGAACCTTGTAGGGTAGGCAAGGCGGGTTCTATGACATGTGTGAGTTCCACTACTTTTTTTTTTTTTTTTAGAAAAAAAGCACTGTCTATAACTATGAAAGTAGCATTTTCAGAAGCAGATGGGAACAGGCAGCTATATTCAAAATGGATTCTGACCCTGGTATTGGAGAGGGTGGGTGTTAATTGTCAGCTCATAAAATACATTTAAATTTAGCTGACAATCTGAGCCAGTGTGATACAATAAGGTGCAATCAGTTCCCTTTCTCATTGTCTACTCTTTCATAATATAATCTTCACATTAGTAGTGGGAGTATTTAATGATCACTTCTATGAAACAAATGTTAGAGGTTTAATGTTATAGACAGGGGATTTTCACTGAATTAGATTTTCTTCTAATAAAAGCTAATGCAGACTTTCTAGAGTAGGAATGATTGAATACTCAGGTCAGAAGATGCAATGTATGCCCATGTAGGAACTGGTCCAAGAAAAACTAAAGAGTTCTTCATTTTCATTTTATATGCCTATTAGTATCATCTACTAATGGCTGGTTTTCTCTTAAATTGGCATGTAAAAATTGGTTTTGATATCCAAAAATATTGTTAGATCAAGACATAATCACTTCCTATTTTGTGCTTGTACTGTTCTCTGATGATGAGAAAATTGGAAAAATAATCAAAGAAATATTTGGGAACATTTAACATTGAACCACTAATGCATCTGGTACCCTTCCTCTGGTCTCCAGCTGTGGCCAGATCAGATGGCAAAGAGAAATGCAAAATACATGATACAGGATTTTGTACCTCTTTGTTTCCAACACATTATTTTTTTACAAAAATCCTAAGATATGGATGTTTATCACATAATACTGTATCTCATCCTTCTGTGACACAACAAACACAATCTCAATGGCTTTCAGCTACATAGTATTTACTGGAAACTATGGGAACTGAGCCCCTAAACTCTAAAAGGCATCAGGTTGGGGTATTATGTTGTATCTTATCTTAAAGAGATGCACTAATACAACATGTTTAAAATGAGCAGGGTTGCCATTTGTGATCTACAAAAATCCAGTTGATATTAATTGGTACAGAAAATGCTAAGTCTTTGCTTCTATCTCGTGGTCTCCCAGATTTTCTGCAGCTTAGCTATGGCTACTCTAGCAGAAATGCTGTAAGAATCCCTGCTACAAGCAATTTGTGAATGCACATAAACACCCTGAATCCTGAACACATCTGAAGCATTTGCATTCATATCCAGCATTCAACAAAATGCTCTAATTTTTTTCCCCAAGCAGTGCAAAAAAGGTCTAATTAAAACCCCCATGGATAACTTTAGATTCTGCCATCTAGATTAACACCCATATGCCTCACTTCTTCAACTTAAATTTCAAATTTCTCTCTAGGTGTGCCCCAGAAAATGACACAAAACACACACAAAAACCATTTGAGTTCTATGTTTATTTTTCCTGTGAACGAGTGTCATGCTCTGATATTATTTCTGGCAAGACTTTTCTTTCTACTCAGATTCTTGGCATTTCTTGAATTCAGATGAAAAATGAGTTGCATTTTTCCTACACACCCATATCAGTTGTATCACAGATGGCATTGATCACCAAAGCCAAAAGGGGCTTAGCAAACCACTAATGCCAATGTTGACTAAACTTGCTCCACCTGGAAGGCGGAAAGAAATAGCTAGTGCAGTTTGCTTACATAGTTGCAAAGAGGAGTGTTAAATCTGTTGAAACCAAAAAGTAGGTCATTGATGGACCTATCTACTATCATATGAAAGTATCATAGGATGTTCTCTCTCTC